GGTTTTGTGAGTGGGAATTTTGATGGGATTTCTCTAGCTGTGGATTCCTTGTGTATGTATATCTTCTGAAGTAGGAGGAGAGTATAGGATTGTAGATGCCTACAGGGGAGCAAGTAATTTATTGACATCATGTGTATTTCTATATAGTTTCAAATACAGACCTACACCCTAAGCTTTCTCAATGTGTTGGTCGAAAATTTCCCCAATTGCTTTGGCGCTTTGTTTGGGGATTCTCTTCTGGTTGTTCTCGTAGTCGACGTAAGTCACTCCGAATCGTGTCTCGTAGCCCTCGGCCCATTCGAAGTTGCTGCAATAATTGTTAGCTATTGGCTGGCTTGTTCAAGTGGAAGGACTTACTCCATCAAGCTCCATGCCATGTAGGCCCTGACATTGACTCCGTCTAAAGTGTAGGCATCCGCCATAGCGCCAATGTAATCCCGGAAATACTGCGTCCGGAAGTCATCCTGGAGTAGTTGTTCTAGCGGCAAGTCGTTCTCCCCCTTCAGGCTGGTGCCGTTCTCTGTAACGTAGATCTTGGGGTGGTTGTATCGCTCACTGAGCCATTTCAACAGCTTCCGGAACCCAATCGCGGAGGGTCGCAGCCAGGGAGATTGCGTCTCGGGTCCGACCCATTCACCCTTCTTATTTTGGAGTAGGACCTCCAGGTTGCCTGCAGTGTCATTAGGATCCGCTTCGCCGGTCTTGGCTTTGATGAAGTTGGCGCAGTAATGGTTCATGCCATAGAAATCGTTACTACCGTGAACGAGCGCGATGTCCTCTGGCGTCCACTTCGGCAGTCGGTCACCCAACTGTTTCACCATGCTATCCGGATACTTCCCGTGGTAGATGGGGTCTGCGAACCAGGAAATTGCGAACTCGATCTTTCTATCACAAGCTTCAACGTCTGCCGGGTTCTCGGGGTCCCAAGGCTCGGCCCAGTCGCCTAGAAGACTAGTTAGGTATCTTGGTACATGTGCATGGGATGGATCAGCACTGACCATTAAGTGTGATGCCTATCTCCCCACCATCGCTGGCCTTGAACTCATCTCGGTAGATCTTCACCGCTGCCCCATGGGCTACAAGAAGACTGTGGCCCACGATCCAACACTCCCGCGAACTATCTCCGACAGGGCTCTTGGCCCGGTCACTTGTTCTCCCTGGAGCAAACTGACCAACGTTATATCCAAGGACACTGCTACACCATGGCTCGTTGAACGTGATCCAATGCTTAACCTTCGAGCCGAACGTCTTGAAAACTATGCGTGCGTAGTGGGCAAAGTCTGCGACGAATTCTTCTTTATTAAGGAGACCACCGTAGCGTTTGTCGAGCTCATCAGGAAGATCCCAGTGGAACAAAGTAATGAGAGGAGTAATGCCAGCAGCATGCAGGTCATCGACGAGTTTTACATAATATTGCAAGCCTTTCTCATTGATGGGGTCGTTTCGGCCACCGAGTGGAATAATGCGGGACCTAAGATAAAGCTATAAGCGGATGAGGAGCATGCATAGAGATTGTAACGCTTTTACCAAGAGAGTGAGAAGCGGTATGCCTTGGCACCGCAAGCCTTAAGCAAGGCGATATCCTCGTGTGCGCGATGGTATGAGTCGCAAGCCACATCACCATTGGCTCCTCCGGCGATTTTGCCAGGGATCTTGCAGAATGTATCCCAGATGGATGGACCTCGTCCGTCCTCGTCCACGGCTCCTTCAATCTGGTAACTGTCCAAAATTAAACATCATGTATTAGCCAAAGCCAAACCACTTCTCCATGACCACACGGGGACACAATCAAATCACCTCGCAGTTGCGAATCCCCATAGGAAGTCGGGTGGAAGAGTCGAGGTTGAAGCGGAGCCCATATTGATAGTTGCTTGATGCTTGTATTAAGTGTTTGGGTACCCAGGATCTCGCTCCTTAAATTGTTCCAACCAACATTTGTAGAGACTGAGGGACGTTTAAATATTTTGGCCAGCCAGACTAGGAGGGGAAAGCGGGGATGTTGAAAGGAGTTAAGTACATAGTTCCGGATAAATATCATCTTGTTTCTGGGCTAAAAGCAGACGCGGCTCCACGGACCGTATCCCGAAGACCTGGAATAGGTATAGTCGAAACTACAATAACTCCTCTCATTTGCATCTACTAAAAACAAAAACACCTTGGTTAAATCATGCAATAATACTAGACACCAAATGCAATGGCAACCCGGTCTTGAAACTCCTCGCTGATCGTAATCCATACCTCATTACTTATATCATGTCATGGAGGTTAGTCGAGGGAAATCCTCCCAACCGCTATTTCCTAAGCAGCGACATGGAGCTCAAGCGGCGGTGGACCTGATTGTATCACGACATTTCCATCCCTTCCATTTCGTCGCCATCGAGGTCATCGACATCTTCTGCCATTGTGCCGCCAAGAGCCAGCTGGGACCGCTTAGGATCTCTGCCGGAGCCAAATCCCTCCGCGGAAAGCGCTCCAACCATCTCCAATTCAGGTCCTGCAACAACGCGGCCTTCCATGTCAACCACCTCACATAGTTCAATCAAACTCTGCCGACTCAGAGACTTGAAGCCGTCGGTGCGTACTACTCGACCCCAGTTGCTGAGACAGAATTGGGCCGCACGGCGCATCAGCCATTCTTCATTCGTCCGGCCGGCTCGCTCCCAGATGATGGCTGCATTCTCCACGTCCAGTTCACGACTCAGCCGGTTAACACATAACACTCGTAGCTTAGGCATGTCGTACAAATTGGCCATCACGAGCATACCAGCCACATCGACAATGTCAGAACAGTATTCTGGGTGACCTGAGATGCTATCAGTGTACAGGTAGTAGATGAATGCACGAACGACCGAGTAAGGCTCAGGAATATGCATCCTCTTCGAATGATATTCGACCATCTGAGCAGAATACAGCCTTTTGAAATGGGGCCATCTTAGCTGTAAAATAATCCGATGCACATGGATGGGTGGGGAAGTGGCCACATTAGGAGGTATAAACGTGGACTGGGCTTGGGAAGAAGAGTCTTCTGCGAGCTCGTCACCGTCTACTTGATCGTCTGGGTTGGCTGTGATAGTAAAGTCGGCACCACTGCCGGATTCAGGCGCTTGATCAAAGACAGCCGACAGGTCCGCACCAATTCCAGATAAGGGAGATGCCCCCGATTGTCCCGAGAGTAGTGCTCTGTCTTGGTCGGGCGAGGCGGCTGTCATGTCATTGCCAAGTAAACCGTACCTTTCCAGATCAATACAAAGAACTTCGCTCATGTGGTTCTCATCAGCGGTTCCAGGAGTGGCGCCGACATCCGAGTTGCTGCCTAACAGCCACGCCTTGGTGCCACTCGCATCGACGGTACAGTAATGCCACCTATAACCCGATTTAAATATTTCCTGTCCATCGGCCAATCTTTGCCAGCGTAGCGAGTCAAGCTCCAATGATGACAGATTACAGTCAAATATACGCACTGTCTCCGACGGAGTTATCAAGTCGAGCAGAACACCAGACGCATATGCTTGGAAGTGGGTCCCAGAGAATAGCGCAGGTACATGAGGGCCAGACTTGAACTGAAGACACGAGATGGCACCGGGAGCGATTGGTTTCCGTCGATTTGAATTGCGAACTTGCACACTCCCCGAGTTTGCTGCGTAGCTACCCGACCGTCCCGAGAGCTGCTGTGCTGGACTATTGAACATTGTGTCTGGGCTATGAGTACTCCTGCCGATTGTCGCGGGGGTGTCTACGGTACCTTGCGATGTTGTCATTCCAAGAGATTGGATGTCTTTGAGATCAAGCCACCAGATATCCGTCGTACGTTCCATACCCGGGTCAAGGCCTCCAAAAGTCCACAGGCGACCGCCCCAAACCCAGGCAGTATGATCGAAGCGGGCTGTAAATCTCCAGGTCCGAGACCATGTCCATGTTTTCAGGTCCAGGTAAGACAGGTCATCAAGGATTTTGTTATCTCCAGTTACACCTCCTAAGACAAAAAGTTTGTCATCGTAAATGACGGCAGCATGGCGGGCCCTTCCTCGCGGTACTGGTCCACGGATTTCCGGCTGAGTCCAAGTAGAGGTGGTAATATCGAGGATGACCACATCGGAAAGATATTCGCGATGCTCATTCTCTCCACCAAAGACAATCAGTTTGGTCCCTTGATAGAGAGTGGCAGTATGTCCTAGTCAGTTCGCACAGTTTGGTTAGTTCAGATCTCCAGAAATAGTTGAACACCGATGTGGTCAGGTTTAAATACCCATGCGAACTCCTGGAATATCGCCATAATTGTCCACAAGTTCCCAGCGGAGATCTTTAAGGTTCAGCCTCAGAACGTGGTTGTACACTGTTACATTCACATCATTAGCATAAGATGCAATTTGTGCATGCCAGATAATAGGGTCGCTTATGAACCTTCATCAGTATACTGATCGAACCCGCCGAAGGCGTAGATCTGATCGTTGTCGCAATACGTCACAGACGCATTGACCAGACATGCTGGGATATGGCCCTGAGCCTTTTTTATGCTCGGGCGATAGTCCGTACTACCGCGGCGACCGCCGGCTACACTAGGGGGCATGAGGAATGTGTGGTGCGGTGTCTGATGGTCAGAGGACAGGGAAGTCATCGGAAATGAGACTCTCGGCGCCCCGGTCCAGGATTGTGGGTCTCCGTGGGACTGCGTGAACGCCGCGGATGCAAAGGAAGCGTTACTATTCCGAGTAGTAGTGGAGAGCGGTTGCCGCGCCATCAGAGCCACCCAGAAAGGAGAGCGTTGTGGCACCGCTCCACAGAGGTGGGAAAGAGCGCGTAATGGAGTTCTTGGTGGTGTTTAAATTCAAATAACGAGACTTTTCTTTACATGTTATACGAAATCATGCCAAGGCGTACAAAGAGGCTTCGACATCGGGGATGAGAGAATGCGACTAAAAAATTCAAAAAAGAAAAAGCTGGAAAAAAGTGAAAGTTGCCAAGACGATCGTCACGAGAGCCGCATGGCAGACGGGACTAGCCGGGATAGGATTAGCGCACCCGTACCTCAGGTAACCGTTGCCATGGGAGAATAGAACTATACTCTCTATTTATTCCCCTATCCCTCAAGTCTTCCGATCCAGATTCCTTCTTCTCCTCCCATCTTCTTCAGTTTCCTTGCTATCTCATAATTCTTGCATAGTATATTGTTTATACTTGCTGTTTTCAGTACTTTACTGTTCATCTTAAGCCATAATCCCGGCTGAAGGTCATTGGATGACCGCATTGCCTTGACCTTACTTCTTCAACGTTACCTCTTCTGTGCCCCGGTGGCATAATCCTATTCGAATATGGCTACTCCCACAGTATCGACTCCGGTCAAGACCCACCATGGAATCTTCTCTTCAAAGACTGCTGGAGGTCGCATGCCTCTCACACCTTCTCCACGTATGCGAGCGGGAAGCATGACATCGAATCACTCTTCACCATTCACTCCTCCCCGTCAGCAGGAAGGCGCCAAGGACCATGGAAAGTCTGTCTACGGGGGTAATTTGTCCTCTTACTTTGCCAAGTCCATGTCCAGGGCAACCCGGAGCTACCGCGAGTCTCCCAAGTCTAACATTGCCCGGATTCGTAAGTCGCCTAAGCACCTAGAAATGGGTGTCTCGGAGTGGGCTTTGGCTGGTACTGGTCCCTCATCATCACAGTCTCCGACATCCAAGGAGCGAGTACGGAAAGAGGTCCCGACACGTACGACAAGATCTGGGAAGACCACTATTCGCATTGCACACAATGCTGGTGACAGATTCATTCCCAACCGGACCGCCAGTGAGGGACTGGCAACTGCTGGAACTGCAAAGCCCGAGGAGAGCCAACGATCCAAGACTAGTGGCAACGAGGGCTCTACCGTTCTTGCAAGTGCCGCGAGCGCCTTCGACATTGGTGGTCGAGGAACGGAAGACGATATCACCGCGGCTCTTGAGAACCTCGGCCTCGAGGATAGCGAGACTTCCTCAACATCATCATCTTCTTCGTATACCAGACCCGCACCAGATGCTGTAGCCTACGAATCGTCATTGGCTGACGCTTGCGGTGTAAATCTGAATACTCGAATTCTTGCTTTCAAGCCACCGCCTCCGGAATCGTCCAAACCCATTGACTTGCGTGCTCAGTACAATCGTCCCCTTAGGCCTGCTAAATCTAAGTCGGCACAGTTCCGCAGAAGGGTTCAAACTGCTCCCGAGCGTGTTTTGGATGCGCCTGGGCTTCTGGATGACTACTATCTTAACCTCCTGGATTGGAGTTCTGGCAACCAAGTTGCCATCGGCCTTGAGCGGAATGTTTACGTGTGGTCGGCAGATACAGGGTCCGTTAGCTGCCTACTGGAGACATCTCCGGATACGTATATCAGCAGTGTCAAGTGGAGTGGCGATGGAGCCTATGTTGGTGTGGGCTTGGGCACCGGCGAGGTTCAGATCTGGGATGTCGAAGAGGGTACTAAGCTGCGAAGTATGTTTGGTCATGACTCTCGTGTTGGAGTCATGGGCTGGTCTAAGCACACCTTGTCTACCGGTGCTCGCAGCGGACTTGTGTTCAACCACGATGTCCGCATCGCTCAGCACAAGGTAGCTGAGCTTGTATCTCACACCTCCGAAGTCTGTGGCCTCGAGTGGCGACCCGATGGTGCTCAGCTGGCTACCGGCGGAAATGACAACTTGGTGAATATCTGGGATGCTCGGTCTCTCAGTGCACCCAAGTTCACCAAGACCAACCACCGTGCTGCTGTTAAGGCTCTCAGCTGGTGTCCCTGGCAACTGAACTTGCTTGCCACCGGTGGTGGATCATACGATCGCCATATTCACTTTTGGAACACCACGACCGGTGCGCGTACCAACAGCATCGATACTGGCTCCCAAGTCACCAGCCTGCGATGGAGCAACCACTACCGGGAGATTGTTAGCTCCAGTGGTTTCCCCGATAACTCTCTGAGCATCTGGAGTTACCCAACTCTGGTCCGCAACATTGAGATCCCGGCACACGAGACTCGTGTTCTGCACAGCTGCCTGAGTCCCGACGGTCAGCTTCTGGCTACCGCGGCAGCGGATGAGAGCTTGAAGTTCTGGAAGGTCTTTGAACGCAAGCCAGGAACTAGTGCATCGGCGTCTCGTGAGGGTGGAGTTGGAAGCAAGGCTCAAATGACTAAATCCATGACTATCCGCTAGTTTTGCTGCGTAGTTTTCTTGTACATTTGTTTCGCTTTTCATTGGGTACTGCGTGGATTCTGGGTATATCACTGGGAGTTGGATCACACTTGGCTGGCGTTACTTAGCTGGAGCACTGTATTTAGGCGAGACGGTATATTTGGGTTAAGATTCTTGTATAGCACATTATTAGAATTGATGACAAACTATCCTAGTACCACTTGACATTGGACGATAGATTGATTGTAAGACGGTCAATCGATCGGGGACAGTCGACTTACTATACTACACCTGTGTCCCTACAATTAATGTTAAAATCGTGATACTTAAGATAAGCTCGAAGGGCCGATGGCGCTAACTTAGTGAGGGTGCGGGTGGTGACTAAGCAGGACAAGGACGGATTTCGCCCGAAGATTACGACTTTCACCTCATTCAATTCCCTCTCAGGCACGCCTGTCCCTGCGCTCCTTGCCAACAACCTTCGTTTTCTCGGGCGGTTTGACGAAAGATTTCACGTACCACATAGCCAGGTTGCATACGATTGCCGGTCAAGTCCTGAGCCACCGAAGCAGGCCCGAACTTGATTGTTGGAGGTTACCGTCGCATTAGCTCGTGGCAACCGACCGCTGCGACGGAACACCTGCCCTGGTGATAAGCCAACGACAACACCTCCACCTTACACCCCGGACGTGATAGGCTCGCACGTTTGATTTTTTGTCGACAAAGGATAGACCGTGGTGATTTACCTGATTTGACAAGGCCTGTCTACGAAGTTCTGCCCCAGCGAACATGTCCAACCAGCAGGTGGTGAGTGCTATCTGACAGAGCCCTACCTTGCCTGAGCTGGGAGACCTAGGAAGGATTAGCAGATATTTTCTCTTTTCGTTGGCTAGCTTTCTTCAGTGAGGGTCTGTCCCTGTAAAGAATATTGGCTTATACCAGATGATTCATAGGGCACGGTGTTCGATCGTGTCATCCAAGAAGTCTGCGATGGTTCTCAGGTGGATTTTGAGGAAAGTGGAGTGGACCAGCAGACATTGCTAGATTTGCGGAAGGTGAGTTAGACAGAATTTTGATATTGGAGATGTTTCTTTGATGGATTTCCTGGTAAAAAATGCCAACGAAGGGGGAACTGATGTTGGCTACGATGGCCCTCGGCCAAACGCGGGGTCCGAGAGTTGCGGGAGGCGGCAAAGCCTCTGGGGGAGCGTCAGCCTTTTGAGGTCCCTTTATACTCCTCACATTTTACCCGCGGGAGCCTAAGGCTGCCAAGCCTCCTCATCGTCCCTCTCATTCATTTGATGATCTATAGTTCGGGCTTACCCTTTGTCAACCTTGGCCTCATATCACATTGATCTATTTCTACTTGGACTTTTATTCTCGTCTCATAACCTTTCTATTGACTGTTCCACTATCTAACTAAATTCTACCTGCACAGAGCTGGCAAAAAAAACTGTCGTCCCTGGGTGTCGCTCATTTCCCTTGGGATCCCCCACCACCCCAGCCAGCCCCTCCTCAGCCTCAGAACCAGAATCAAATCCTCCCTCCCAGTGCGACCGTACCCTCTAATGCTCCCCGACCCGCTCCTTCTCAAACCCCTCAACAACATGTCCCCCCTCCGCAGTCGATGCCGCAACCGATGCCTGGCACCGCGCCTCCGTTACAGGTCCCCACCCCGGTCGGGGCAGCACCAAATGCCATGGGCCAAGCGCCACACATCAAGACGGAGCCTGGTATGAACGGTCAAACCAGCTTGCCCCCTATGAGTAACATGATGCCTACGAATGCTCCAAATGCCCAATCGGCGCGAGAACGTGCTGCCAACATGCTACACCAGAGATACGGCGCGGCCGCTGCCAACTCGGTCAGTCAGTTGCAGGCCCAGTCGCAGGCTGCCATGGCAATGCCAGGACAGGCCCGTCCCCAGAATTTACCGCATGTTCCTAATGGACAAGCGCCACATATCAAGCAAGAACCAGGTTACCCTCCTGTTTCTCAACCCCCCATGAATAACACACAGACAGACGGTGCCGACGACGATGCACTGTCAGCATGGAAAGCAGAGGTTGCGCGACGGCGTGAGGCTGCTGAGCGTCAGAACGGAGAAGGCGACAGGGTTCTTCGTGAACATCTGAAACAGCGCATGCTTCAGCTCGAGGGAGGAGGCCTTCTGCTGCCATTGGAGGAACGCCAGGACTCGTCAAGAGCACCTGCCCGTGAACTTGCGACAGACGCCGCGATCCCTTCGGACCCAAGCACCTCAGCATCCTCTTCTTCGAAAGTAGTCCAAGCCCAATATGACGGCCCGGGAGGCGATGATGAGAGGGATGAAGACGATGAAGATGCCATCAACTCCGACCTCGATGATCCGGACGACCTCGTTGCTGATGACCATGAAGCGGAAGATGCCGTCGGCCAAGTGATGCTCTGTACGTACGATAAGGTCCAAAGGGTGAAGAACAAGTGGAAGTGCACCTTGAAGGACGGTATTCTGACGACTGGTGGTAAAGAGTAAGTTCCATAGAAGCACCTGAAGTACTGTGACAAGCTTGCTGACTTCAACAGATATGTCTTCCACAAGGGTCAGGGCGAGTTCGAGTGGTAGGTACGCAGTGTTTCTGTCCCCCGTAGCCACACGGTCTTGACGTCCGTTTTACTGTCTTTTTTTTTACCCTTTTCATTTGTTTTAGCCATGTTCATTCATCTTCCCAATCTGTAAAAACCTTCTCCTATTTGTCTACCATATTCAACCAAGGCAAATCACAGTACGGACACACGATGACTCCCAAGGGTAGTCGGTGGAAGCGGAAATAACTCTCAATGATTTTTGTTTCATGAAGTACATGAGGACGTTTGCGGCACGAGACTTTAATCTTCTTCATGTTACCCTTAGTTTGGATGCACATGGCGCTTTATGCAGGGGATGGCTATTTCTTTTCTTTGGTGTACTAGAATAATTCTACTTTCAAATGGGATTTTTGCTTTGTTGTCTCTACATCGTGACCAGGTCAGCTGAGCTACGGAATACATGCTTCGTCCTTACCTCACTATTAAACCTTGCATGGAACCAGTAGGAAATAATGCCGATCCTCCTGATGCGTAAAACTCAGGCCTCTGTATGGAGTACATACACCTTGATATGTGAATACATAGTTACTACCGTGACGCCGGTATCACATTCGGACTCAAATGGGGGCCTGTGTTTTCTGCAATCCACCCCAGCCAAGACCCAGTAGTATCATCCATAGTCTGCCACTAGCGGAGTATGCTGACAATCAAAACAGTCAGGAATTGAGACCGATCTCACCTGAATGCTGTTGGCTTTTTGCCTTGGATTCAAGCACAGAGAATGAGCTCTATAGTGTCAAACAAGCCATCGGATTGTCGTTCACGGTACGAGCAGAATGTATACGTATTAATGTTTTGTCTTGAATGTAAAATGGTGAATGGAGACAGAGCTGCTTCAATTCGAAGGAAATATAGTTTATCATTTAACAAATGTGACAGGGCATCCAAGCAATATTTTCCAAACTTTTTTCCTTTTCGCAGAACAAAACGAAGCCATGGGAATCAAGCAAATCAAGAAGACTCTATCAAGAAATAACAAGCCAAAGGGGGTCAACGCATATCAAGAAAAAGTTATAGCCCCAGATTCTCCATAAACACCACCAGCACAGGTAAAAACAAGAAAGCAAGCTCTGGCCTGGAACCATTATCTACAGGATCGACGCCGGTATGCCATTTTTTTTTCTCTTCCATGGTGCTCGGGAAATGGCGGCCAGATGTCTGAAGACGAATAACGAAGGACACATCAAGCCCGGTGGTGAGTTCCAACTTTGTTTGATCCCCGCATTTGCTGTCTTCGGAGATTAAAAAAACGCAACCTCACCTGAGTGTCACGAATCCAAGGATCGATAAAGTCCATTAATAATGACAATCACGGGGATAAGAGGACAAGAGGTAATTGAGACACCGGGTGCTGCTTCCCAAAGCCCAAATATGCAAAAAAAAAGTCACGAAAACAACAGAAGCCGAAAATCATATACCGACAAGCGTTCCGGGAACTCGTAAGTGTACCTCAACGGAAGTCTTTCGAGGGCACCAAAAGGACTGACTGTTCATTATCAGATCAATCGCGGCGGCCCCAAAGAACCGCGATCGACAGGGCGTTCATACCAAACGTAACTCCAAACCACCGAACCGGTCATAAAGTCGTATGTCACGCGACGAAGCTGTCAAATCGTCGAATTGAATTATGTGGAATTGAAGATAAGGGCAAAGCAATATCTTTCAAGCTTTGTAAAACCACGAGACCTTCTATAGAAGACCCTCTTCACCAATACCAGGTAGACCAGCCCCGGCAACATTAATATTTTGTCCCTGCATGACTCCTCCGCCGAAAGCCAGGTTGCGGCCAGCGGCAAGTTGGAAGTCAGGGTTGCACGGCGGAGAATGCGATTTGTGATACTTGAGACCATTCAAGTTCTTGTAACGTTTGCCACACACCTCGCAACGGTATGGTTTTTCTTTCTCCATGCCGAGTGTTCCAGGATACGGCGTCGAGGTTTCTGGGTTAACGATGGAAAAGGTACCGTCTGCATTATCATGTAATTGTTGGTTGTTATGGCCGTGCTGCGATGCTTTGTTAATTATAGTCCATGGAGAGTCATATCCTGTAACGAAGAACTTACAGCTTTGTGATATTTCAAACCATTCTGGTTTTTGTACGCCTTCTCGCAGCCAATAACAGGGCAACGGAAAGGCTTTGGTTCTTCATTTGGAAGCAATGCGGTGGTATCGGGAACACCGGCCAGTAGTTGCTGTTCTCTGATTCTGCGGGCAATTTCACTATTTGGGCCGTACTGTGCCCCACTAAGCTTGAAATGAGCATTGGGTGTATTGATTCCCCCGGTCGGGCTGAATAAACGTTTCGCCGGCTCGTCAATACAGAGATCCACCATATCGTTGTTGGCAGCAAAGCGAGCGAATTGCTCCTGGCCTTGCATCATGTTGTTAGTCTGCATCCCCATGTCACCGAAGCCGCCAAGCACGCTCTCGTCAAGTTCGGCCGGGGTTCCCGGTGTGGACGAATCGGGCGTTGACCGGAACTGAGAGTTCTGAAGTGGATTCGACATCAAAGTCGGCGTATTCACCGAGGAAACAGTGGGGTTATTCTGCAACGACAGGGGGCGACCAGAAGCCACAGGGGTGCCGGGTTGAGATCCCTTGAAACCTTGATGTCCTGGCAGCATCGACAGATTCAAATGAGGCACCCTTTGATTGGAATGGCCAAATCCTCCCTGGTTGCCATTTTGTGGCTGAGGCGAAAACAGCTGCGACGATGCATCATGATCACCCATCGGCTCGTCCAACTCCATATCATCGATTGCATCGAGATCGGAGTGCTGCTGAGGCGGCTGGCTCTGATTTAGTTTCCGCTGAGTGCTCTCGGGCTGTAATCCACGGTTCTGATTGTTGTTCTGCTGATTCTGTTGGTGCGCCATGGCAGCAGCAGCTAAAGCAGCCCGGCCGTCAGCTTGACTTGGGCGATGCCCCTGGTGTGGCGATTTAGTGGCGTGGGCTTCTTCATAGTGCTGTAGGAGATCGTGAAGAGTAGGTAATGTCACACCACAGCAAGAAAAGTCTCGCATGAAGTTGGCTTCCAGCTTTGGGAGATAAGATGACGAATGAAATGAAGGTGACTGGAAAGTAAATGGGGATGTGCCAGTCATTAAAATACTAGATCACTTGATATTAGTTTCAAACCATTCAAACTCATGTCAGGCGCATTTGTGGGATGCCGATAATAAATCCATGTGGGATATCGACCGCGCACCCATGAAAACTTACTCATCGCGTATCCAACTGCCAACAGAAACACCCCCCCAGCTCATACCGCCAACCAGGCTCCCGGCCAATGACTCACGGCGCTGTTTATCGCGGTTGGAACCAGACATAGAAATAGGTTTCGAGCCATTACCCCATTGTGCGGTCGCTGCGCCGATGGAGTCTTTACGAGGTGGTGGGGCTTTGAATATATTGATTCCAACGCCGCCCGCGTGAGATATGCTACCGGTCCGCTCGCCATTTCCAGCTCTCTGGAGAGCAGAGGTCAAATTCGACGCCTGTTGCCCAGGGGGAGAGACCGAGGTCTGGCGAGTGGCGATGTCAATTGGAGCTGCTGTATTGTTCATCGTGCCCGAGGTCAAAGGGGGCGAAGGGGAAAGAGGGAAGTCGTAGTCTTCTTGAGGTTGCGAGTATAACTTCGTCGGGTCGAAATACGATGACTGGTCGTCGAGGAGACCAAATGAGTTTCGAGGCCACGAACAATCAGAGACCTTTTCCCTGCGCGACGGTACGCCAAACCCGAGTGGAGTGGTAACAGGGGTCGAGTCCCGAGAGGATGTGCGATCGTGTTCCCCAACGGAAGGAGAGTAATGAAGAGGAGGAGGACTGAGCGTCTCTGACAACCCAAGCATGAAGGAGTGAATCCTCGAAAGCGGCTTTGGGCGGGATCACACAAGGAGTGAGTGTCCACCCTCGGATGCTGTCCCGCTTTGGATTTCTCTGCGGAACCGTAACGGATTCGGGAACAGTGGCGGCACGTAACAATGAGTTAGTAATACTGCCGATGGAGACTCAGCGAAATGGTTCGAATGATGATGAAGAAGTATGAAGATTAATTTTAGACAGAGGAGACGGTAAACAGAAGGACAAGACAACACGATAAGTCGATAACACCAGGGAAAAGAGCGGAAAGAGATGGAGGGGGAAAGACTGGGCAAACTGGCGGAATCGAGTCATGGAAGGAAGGACTTCCATCATTCTAGTAATAATAACCTACCTTACCGGAGGCGACTTACTACCTTCACTGCCTTACGGGGCAGGTAACTGTTGGTAGGGTACCTACAAGTGCATCCATGGGTATCCAGTGTCTTTCCTGGTACGTATTACATCGTATTACACGGAGACATATTGCCAGACAAATCTGAAACCAAGTGGGCGAGTTAGTCATACTCCCTTGTCATCCCAGCGTCGCTGTTTCTCCGTCTTCAATGGCAAAATTCTAGTCGGTCTCAGCTTCATTACGTATGGTTGTCCCAAAGAATCTTATGGGTTCGTGGATAGCTAGTCTATCTACTAAAGACAGCTAAACTAGGAGTTCGGCGTTCAACTGGTGCAATCGCTAAAGAATGGTGGATTCTCGACTGACACCGCTTGCAGCGCTCGACCACTCACGAGCTAGTACTAAAGAAGTAGTCTTCCTCAGAAGTCAATGACGATGGCGGTGGGATCAGAGTTCCATTTCTAAGGTACAGTACTAACTAGTGAGATGGAGTAATGGAGTAGCACTTCTTAGTACTAGTACAAAGTACTAGTACTAAACTCGTTACATCTCTGTAGTAGGTTCTGTAATTTGAATCTAACCATCTTTGGGGGAATGACGGAGAGACTACTCCGTTAGTAACCACTTACCCTAACTAGTAACCTCCCGAGTTAGCCTGTAGTTCGACAGCGTACATTACGTTGCCCTTGCAACATTGACACATCAAACTCAAACCCACCACACAAGATTATTTGTCAAGACAATCCTCCCGTGAACTGTCAAATGATTGGACTACAAGGATTCGAGAGACTTTAAGCAGAGTCATCTTGTTCGTACACATTACATAGCAATATGTAGGTATAGGTGACGTCTCCGCTATTGTGAGACGGCTCATATAGCCGATGGGGCGAAGGGAGGCGGACTTGATCCGTGGTTCATTTACATGTGCTCTCTTGGGGCTGACGGATTGGATTGAATGTCCTTTTCGGACTGCGGACTAGGGCATTCTTGACTAGATTAACTTGATCAGCACTTAAAACGAGCAGTCTATCTAAAGCCATCAAGAAGAACATGCGCTGATCGACTTCTTTTATCTAACTTACGCAAAATTAGATTCAATTTTCCCCCACATTGTCTTAAATCCCAGTGTACTAACGGTTAGGTAGGTTTCTTTGCGATGGTTGATCTTCAGGGTCTTGAGGTTGATAAAGGCACTACTTACTAGGCCTTTTAGTACGCGACTGCGGGGACTAATGAATATGTAAAATAGGTTGGGCGCTACGTATTTAACGTCCCAATCGTCGAGCGATGGCCTGAACAGAAAGCTTGGCTATCGGTGGTCACATCAGTAATGGTCATATGGGCAGGTTCAACCATTTAATGGACTGGTATGTACGGATATACAGCATGTAAACTTTATACTCCATCTCGGAGCTTTATCTGGCCAACACCACATGACATCAGAGAATAATCTTGTCACATGTAGTGGAGATCAGATCAAAACAAATGGGCGGTCTGTATTCACAGCCTGATATACACAAGACACGGGCAAATGAGAGAGGTATTGTCAGCGCTGGACCAACCTGAAGCGACCTCACTTACTCTATTGGTCCAAATCGCTCTGGTTATGGATAAAATAGAGTGATGCGATTGTGGCAAGGTGAAACCCCCCCCTCCCCCGGGGGTTCACCAAAAGAGATCATCCCTATCAGAACAAGCTGGAACACTGATCGTCTCACTAGCGATAGCCGCAGGTCTACCTTTCAGGACGCAACCACACTGGGGGATGTATCACCAAACCCTTAGCTTCGGCGCTAGAAACATAACAGAAGGATTCTTCGTGGCCGCTTTCACCGCTTTACCCGCTCAAACACTTACCGCTTCTGGTCTGATATACAGCATACTCCAAATCTCGGACTAAGCCTAAATACGTACCCCGTTTGGTACTCCGGAGTAGGTATGTGTTTGTGTGTTTGTGGCGTATTTCGGAGATGGAGGAATATAATGAATACTCTATATGAGGCTTATTATGGCGAGACCGGGCAAACGGGCATGCTGCTATGTATAGATGTTGATTTCCAAACGTCACTCAGACAATGAATCGGCCGAGTGGCCGCTAACCTTATTCGATTCAAGCCGCGGAACATGTGGTATTGGAATCAGGCGATCATTTCTGGTTATCAAATATATACTACTTTGTTCCTGTTAGCGGTCCTCTTGTGGCAATTCATACGCACAACACATTCAATCTAGATTTACTACAGAGTATAAGGGCAGGGGGCTGTTTTGTTCCCCAGCCTCCTCCTTACGATAATGACTCAATCTCATCCCTCTTCTCCGGAATACCGACCAGAAGGTAGCAGCAGTAAGCGACTGTGTACGGAGTACTTAAGTTCATCATCCATAGTGTATTGTCATACGGGGTATATACCGAATTCGATGCAATACTGTAATTTCGAAATTCGATACCGCCTCAGGTGATGTATACCTCCCTGCCACTTGCATGATCTAACCCACTGTCCTACATTTTGCTGCAATCATATACAAATCAATGTCAACCCAACGTTGAGTCCCCTGTGGGTCAATACACACCCAAGTTCACCGATCTTGAAATGCCACATGTGCCATTCCACCGACTGCAAAAGGTGCGAAGAACGGAAGAATATCTGATAGGTGGATCTTAGCGACTGTTTCCATAGCTGAGGATCTCCAACAGGACGGCGTTTCGCACCATGGTAGACTCAAATAGGGGCACTAGTACCAGCTGACCGGGACTATAGAGACAAAGTCAACCTTATACATCAATTTATTTCGGTAGTTCAAGAAAGTACTATTCATTTGGCATCAGTCGACAAGAGACGTGTCCATAGGCATGTCTTGTGATCTATTGCCAAGCTGCAATTGAGTTGGTACCGATGCATCCATTGGCTTCGACACCCCTGATCGACTAGTAGTCTAACTTACTAGTAGAAAGGCGAGAGAAAATACCAAATTCAAGTCACTTCAAAAGCGAAATCCACAGACTTTCAAATACCATTTTCGTATGCTCGTGCAGCCACTCAGGTTCGCTCGCCTACCGCCATTTTTCCGTACCTACATTAGCAGACAGGAAATAAAGCCACAGGAAACAGCGAAAGTGGATTGGGTGGAGAGGCACGCCGGGGCCAGTGGCTGGGTCTAAATCCCGAGGCGAGGATACATATTCTTGGCGGCCGCCCATCTGCTCGTTGAGTTCTTCTAGAAAAGCGAGAAAATGGGTAAAGACACAGAAGGTTCAATTTCGGTGGGCCCCTTCACGCATTCCCCTGTAATTACCAATCATGCGTATAGTACACAGGCCGACGGAGGTATGAGTTCAGTATTTCGGTAATGTAAGGAACCAATCTACCCGCGCATGCCGCCGCTGTACCGGAAACAGCCCAGCAGTTTTAAGTTGGGGTTCGACATCACCACTTCCAATAAAAGCAATAGTAGTGCTCAAACCAACCCCAGTGCGGTGCGCACCAGCCATCGTCTTCATGTAGACCGCCTTACGTGCGCCACTAGCTCGTGCGCCACCCCAAACTGCAAACAATGCAAACCCTCGTTCATACTCCGCGGTGGGATGTGAGAGCCGAAATTTTTGTCGGCATTGATCGAAGAAGAAGGCTTGTTTGCGCCAAGCATTGAACCTAGCTGCACCTGAGTTGGAATTTAAGATTGGAATTTCTACTCATCGGCTATTTGTTCGTCGCTTTGGGCAAGAGAGGTGACCATTCTATCGTTACAGCTGTTTTGATAATGGCGCCCGAAACCGCTCAATCGCAAACGCCGGAGGCGCCATGCGCGGTCAAACCGACGCACCAGTGACACATACATTAGCGACTGACAATATTGAGGAACCTCCCTCAAAGAAAGCAAAGTTGGATGATACATCAACGCCTGACAACGACGCTAACAATGGTGCCACTCAGCGCGCGAGGGGTATCGCCCCCGTTAAGGCAGAGTATGTGGGCGCAGGAGCAACTATCTGCGGTGGACTTTATTGACTAACCATATACTAGATTCATTATCCCAAGGGCTACGAACACCGAACCGCAACCTAATACTGATGACGCTGCCGAGGCCGCACGTCACGAGGAGGGCCAAGGGCAAGAGACGGGGAAGAAGAAAAAGAAGAAGAAGCCTACTGGACAAAACACAAACCGCACTTTTGGATCGTCTAAAGACGAAAAGGGCCTGTGTCCGAGCAGGGTCTTTACACCTGAGTTCTCTCCCGGAGTTTGCCAATGGGGCGAAAAGTGTCGTTATGAGCACGATCTACGAACCTATCTGAAGGAATACAAACGTGGTGATCTGGCAACCTTTGATGGTATGTGTCCAGTTTGGGATGCAAAAGGCAAATGCCTCTCCGGCTGGAAATGTCGTCTCGTGGGCTCTCACATGATTGAACGCGAGACCGCCGATGGCAGAAAAGAATTGGTGCTGGTTGAGGATGAGGAGCGCAAGAAGAAAGCACAGCCACTTGTCCCTTTTGCCGCCGAGGATGGCACTGCAAATATTGCCTCAGCGGAAGCTAAGTTTGCGCTGCACCGCAAGAAGGTCCAGACGCCTCGAGCTGATTCATACGGACGTTGGTTGGACAAAACCTCCAGAGAACTGGAGAAGGTAATTCACAACCGGAACGTTTCTGAAGAGAAGGGCGCAGAGTCCAAGACCGAGGAGGCCAAAATAGAGAAAGAAGAGAACCGGGCGCAATATCTAGAGCCACCATTCTTACCGTCGGAAAAGCGCCGTATTTACTTCGGCCCGGAAACTCCTGTTTTAGCGCCTCTAACCACACAAGGAAACCTTCCCTTCCGGAGACTATGCATAGAACTTGGCGCACAGTTTACCTACTCGGAGATGGCCCTGAGTATGCCATTAATCCAGGGTAACAAAGGAGAGTGGGCATTGATGAGAGCACACGAGACGGAAATGCTACCTCCAACTATATCTCCAGGGGTTGATGTAGTGCAGGAATATGATCACTCGAAAGATCTTAGATTCGGCGCCCAAATTGCGGCAAACAAGCATTGGCAAGCACTTAAGGCGACCGAGGTACTATCTGCATATACCCCAAACCTTCGTGTTATCGATTTGAACTGCGGCTGCCCCATTGACTTGCTCTACCGTGATGGAGCTGGGTCTGCCCTTCTCGAACACCCGTCAAAGCTCGAGAGGATCCTTCGCGGTATGAATGCAGTTTCACAAGAAATACCTATCACCGCCAAGATTCGCATGGGAACCAAAGATAATTCACCCAATGCTCTCAGGGTGGCAGAACGTTTAATTCTCGGGGGCTACGAGTCCAGTACCCTTGGACTTGGTGCTCCTGGTGTAGCAGCCTTAACCCTGCATGGACGGAGCAGACAGCAGCGGTACACCAGACAAGCAGATTGGGAATATATCTCTGAGTGTGCTGCTCTTATCAAGAGACTGAATGAAAAAACGGATCAAGTCATAGATACCGTACGAGAGCCAGACCCACGGACACAGCCGAATGGAGGTAAGACATGGTTCCTGGGGAATGGAGACTGTTACTCGCACCAGGATTACGACGACCACGTCAACAATGCTGGTGTTGACACTGTGATGGTTGGTCGAGGTGCTCTGATCAAGCCTTGGTTATTTGAGGAGATTCAGGCAGGCCAGTACCTCGATAAGTCTGCGTCCGAGCGTTTATCGCTAGTTGAGAAGTTTGCCAAGTATGGTCTAGAGACATGGGGATCAGACGAGCATGGAGTTGGCACTACACGGCGCTTCCTACTCGAATGGCTGAGCTTCGCCTGCCGCTACATTCCTATTGGATTGCTTGAATATCTTCCACCACGTATTCAGGACCGACCACCGTCTTGGAGAGGCAGAAATGAGTTGGAGACTCTTATGGGCAGTCACAACTACAAAGACTGGATCAAGATCACGTAAGCGTCTTCTTTTTCTCCCTCCCTTCTTGAGACGCCCTGTGCTTCACATGGATATTAACCTGCTGTGTAGTGAAATGTTCCTCGGTCCAGCCCATAAGGACTTCAAGTTCGAGCCGAAACACAAGTCAAACGCTTGGGATGGGGAAGCAGAGGGATGAGCTATGATGATACCATGTAAATACACATTTAGAAGTAACATATCTAGACAAAAAAGCACCTAGAGAATGAAACAGCCATATTGTATAGAAAGCACCACTGGCACGTGATTTCACATTCCGGAAGCGCCGAACTAGGCAGAAATGTGTCACGTGCTATACGTTTCAGCTCCGGGCGGTGATGACGTCTTCCCTGCCGAAGCTGAAAAAGGACCACCTCATCTTCATCGCCCTGGATACAAAAAAAGCCTCTGATCTCATTCCCCCGCCCAGGAAAATTACTCGTCTCCTCATTCCAAGGCTCTGCATTATATATTCAGAGCTTGTTGCAGCCATCCCTTGACTGCTTGGTACTGTCCTTGGCAATTCTTATCTTTTGTTTACCGCTTCAAGCTTCCCCCACAACCACACATCGATCGCAACCCCTGAACCTATTTCCATCGTCAATTGTCGAATCGGGGTATTAGTTCCAGGCAAAATGACTCTCTACTACAGTCTTGTAAGTTTTATTTTGCAGACTGACACCGAATCCACCATGTCAACTTGCAGCACAGGGTGTAGCCTACAGTTCCGGCTGTGCCGAGGATACATCTCGAATTGCTTTGATTACACAGTTCCAAGCAGTACTAACTTCATCTGCGTAGGTTTTTTGCCTTCTCGTCTTCGAGATGGTGATATTTATTGGACTCATCGTCCCTCTGCCTTTCACTATCAAGCGGAAGTTGTTCACCTTCATCTCTGAAAGTCCGATAGTAGCGAAACTACAATATGGAATGAAGGTAAGCCCCTAGTTGCCTAAGATAGGAACAAACTTCTTGTTAACGAATTTTTCAGATTACATTCATATTCATTTTGATTCTCTTCATTGACAGCGTGAACCGAGTGTACCGTGTCCAGCTGGAGGTGACCAATTTCTCTAAGGAGAACATGGGGTAAGTAACTTGCCGTACTTCAATGCATGTGTAGTGGTCTAGGTATATCTGACAATATCTCTTGTTAACAGAGCGGCCGCCCTTGGCACTGACCGCATGGAAGTCCAGGCCCGGAAGTTCTACTCTCAACGTAACATGTACCTTTGCGGCTTCACCCTCTTCTTGTCTCTCATCCTCAACCGCACCTACACCATGATCCTAGATGTCCTCCGCCTTGAAGACAAGGTCAAGACTCTTGAGGGTGACAAGAAGGCCGGCGGAAAGGACTCGGCCCGCCTTGCTGAAGCTGGAAACGCTGGCGAGATCGGACGTCTGAAGAAGGAGCTTGATGCTAAGAACCGTGACATTGAGACCCTGAAGAAGCAATGTGAGGGTCTTACCCGCGAATACCACAGCCTGGGTGACAAGGTTGCCGGTAAGAGCGACGATGGCGCCAAGAAGGATCTGTAAATCGAATCGCCAGGCCCAAACTGCAAAAGCATTCTTGTGTAGTCTCAAGCGAACGTACTGCATGAGATACGAAAGGATCCTGGAGCAGCTCTTATGCTATCGTGGAAATTAAGCGTCCTATTCACTACTCGCTTTCAAATATGATGATACAACTGAAAAGCTGCGCAGCAAAGCAAGCAGTCAATAATCTTGTGCAATGGCTTTATGGTTCCCTGCTTTCACAAATATGGTGGTGGTTTGTTGTGGAGATGTTCCGACGCGTGGTGACGAGGGAGGTCTATACGCACTGTGTGATATTTTATTCCCTAGTGATTGACATATCAAACAAAAACAATCAAGATATTCTCCAAGTACACATGACACCAATGTAGATGATTGTAAACCTCCCGCCTTCAATAACTCCAGCGAGCCCTGAAGTCTCGTATTACTCGACATCGTCAGGACTCAATTGCAAGATCAACTACTCCACACGTATATTCTGTGGACATGCAGCTAAGATATAGAACCTGTTTTTATTCTACTCCCACAGATCGTGTTGCCACCTATAAGCTGCCCTGAGTATTTAACAACCAAAGACAGCATCGGATCAAGCCGGGACAATTGGCTTAACGATAAAAGGGGTTCACATGGGACATTTCATCGGGGTGATTGGAACTGATTCACGATGAGGCGTTAAATTTAACCTGTGGCGCCGTGGCTGGCGGATAGGGACGCATCCGAAATGGAGACTATAACATGTATCACCATGTTTTTGCCCTCCCCATTTGACTAGTCCGCGCAAGTATTAGGAGGGTGGCGTATGGCAAAAGGGGGGAATTCGATAGTAGGTAGCTTAAGCGGCGGTTGCCTAACCAAGCCCTAAAAATGGAAACATAAGTTGTTAAACTTGATAAGCGCTAGACTGGTACTTGTGGGGATTTTTTTTTCTGTACAGTGCCTTCGATAGCACCTCTCAAACCAAGAACATATTCCATAGATAGAGTATCATGCATCTAGACCATAAGCTCCCTTGGAACACAGTCTCTTCACATTTCGGCTTCATCAAAGAGAACCAATACAAGAACCGCAAGAACGACTTCGTTATCCATGACCGTTTCATTGATCGCGAGTCTGCTGAGTTAAACCACTTTACAAAATCCCTTATCTCCGTGATTGAGGAGTTTGCAACTACTGAGCGAGCTAAGTACCCACCGTCTACGGCTCTGCCAACATCCGGGCCTCTTTTCGACACGGCTATCCTACCGGCCATCGAACAGAAATACCACCTCGAACCACACCGAACCAATTCGGCAGTCTCCAATCCCCTTTGTGAAGAATTCCAGAATGTCGACCATTGGATCCGCGAGGATCCATATAGCACCGCTGATGGGGACTTAGCTGATGCCGTGAAAATGCTCCTTATCTCCAATGAAATGCTCGCTTTACTACGTCTAGCAAACCACAAGAAGATCCCGCTGGCGACCCTTGATTCTCTAAGCTGGGGCCACAGCTTCGGTGTCAACCATCTCCCGGACGTAGCTCTACAAGCCTACCTACTACTGAACATCGCCGCTGCTGTGAAAGCCAATGCCAAACGCGGGTCTGCAGATGACACTGTCCGTCTGACGGAGACGCAGCGGTTCAGGCACTTCACTGGTTGGGCGCTGGCAGATCATGACTATCCTGCGCAGAATATCCCGCATCGCCTGTTTTGGAATGCGAAGGGCATCGCTGATGGCCATTGCTCATCGTGGGATCCGTTGAGCCTGGAGACGGATGTGGAAAGGGCAGAGATGAAGGCGTATTTGAAGATGTGTTTTGAGTTGTTGTATCGGTATGACCTTTTGATGAGGGAGTTGGGGAGAGATCCAGGGTGGAGGCAGAGGATCTTGGGCATCTGCGAATGTGGGGAGCCCGGTCTGTTACTATGGATGAATCGGGGTTCTGTTTTGCCTGACTGGGCCCGGTGATGGATCTATGATCTAGAACAAGGTAGGCAGAGAGAAGATATGAGAGCTAGGCGCTATATAGTATCATCCATAGTTGGAGTAGTGAGAATCTAGTTCTCTCATACTTAACGCGTTGGGGGATGTTATGGTCTTGAGGCCTCTTCAAGTAAGTAGTCAGGTGACGATGTACACCCTACTCGAGAGATGTCATATCGAATGGATGATTCGGGGGTACAAATGAGCAGCCAAGACTGCCAAGATACCACACTAGTTCGATGCTGTATGACGTGGCCAATTGAGTATATGCCATAGGTCAGTTGGCTGTGTTTATTCCCATATATGACCCAGAGCGGAGAACACAGTAACTCTTGATAACCATAAACCTCCACGCATGCATTCTTCAGCTTCCAACGCCGTTGAGAACGGTTTATAGTAGGTTTGGTGGTGCAGCTTGACACCAGCAGAGGTTGAGTACCTGCGGTTGTATGGGTCACTTAGGGAGGGATACGACGGAAATAATAGTCTAAACCGCAATCATAGATTGACCAGCAGCTGTAATGAAGTGAGTGGAGAAGCTATGGGGACTTTCAGGAGTACTACCTAAGTAGTATGTCCCATGGGCATTTCCTGACGTGTACATTGTGCTTTGACAAGATCGATCAATAAGTAGGCGGATTTGCCACCAGCTTCGAATGGTGTGCTTGATAGTTGTGTTTTAGTAGTTGAATTTCTTTTTTAAAACATGGAGTAGAGTCGGGATTTGTATAAAAGAGAGACATCGAGTATTCGTTCCCTAGACTTAAGCAGAGGCCGGTATCTACCAGGTGTTTGGTATAGAATTAAGTGAGAAATTTCCCTCCCCAAATACAAAACCAAACGGGTTCCAACAGTAGGACGCTGATGTTTGTAGATCTCACTACGGAGTACGAACCCGATGGCCCCTTATCTCAGCGCATACTTCCGTATTGCAAGTCTACTTACTTACAAGTCACTGTACATAGTAGGTTACATCAGCATTCCTCCCAATGTGCAGGCCATACGTATGCTCATCATTTTATGAAGTAGACTTCTTGTTATATAGACAATCGATGGTTTTCGGTTTGCCTTATTTAAACTTCGTCTGGAACATTGCACATCGCCACTACTGGTAATTAATTTGGTGCTAAGTCGTAGTCAGTCTTCGGTGGTCCAGTGACGACGTCACCTTCGGCATCACCGCTTTTGTAGATCTCCGGGTCCAATCTTACAGTAATTTGCATACCAAATCAATATCTGACCAGTTTACTCCGTAGTTTATATGAACAATTTGATAGAGCATGGCATAAAGGGATTCTTCGTCGTTTTAATTTCCGAGACTCTTTGCCCCCTCCCCCTTCTTCGCTCCGCTTTGATCTTAGTTCCAGGACAGAATTTAATCTATTGGGGGTTTTGTAATTTCTTTTGGCGACTGTGCTGGCATTCGAGGTTGACCGACCGCCTTTGCGTATTTGTGTTTCGCCCCTCCTTTTTCTCATTTTTTCCCTCACTGGCAGTTTCTTTTCCCACTGGCCGGAGACTGGAAGTGTTGTATCGGAGACACCGCCCACTCTCTCTAAAACGGTTTCCCCGTTGACCGTCTCTTCTCGACGTATTTTTGTAATTAATTTTTCGGATTACATTATTGATTCAGAGATATATCAGGCAAACATTAGTAAAGAGCGCAAGAGCTCCGAAGAAAAATACATAAAATATGGATGCATGAAAAAAGATGTGTAAAGTCAAAGGAATTCAATAATATTGTAGACTGCAGGAGTTCGCTGTAATCGTGCATCTCCTCCCCACTCTCTTCTTCTTCTTCTTCTCCTCCTCCCTACCCCCCTTTAACTAACAATTGATTCCTCCCTTGACACTAAGCGCTTTCTGTCTTCCGACCACGAATACTTTACTTCTCTCATCCCGCACCGCAACTCCTCCTACCTTCTACCCTTCACTCCCTCTCATACAGACCCTCGCATACCATCCACCATGGCCGCCCCTAGCTCGAAGTACGACAACTATGATTTTCCACCACTGCGCCGGTTGCCAACACTGGCCACCCTGGCCACACCACCCCAGAGCAGGATGCAAAGGTAGAACAGCTTCGGAGTGAGCTGGAGCAGCTCGGTTACACCGAAAGGCTGGACACTTTGACTTTGCTCCGCTTTTTGAGGGCGAGAAAGTTCGACGTTGCCCTTGCTAAGACCATGTATGTCGGAGGCCTTCCTTACTACTTCTCATTTGTTTGATTGACTAGTGCCCGCGGACACTGCGAAAGCCTAGCGATGAGAACTGTACAATCAGTGATCTCATACTTGGACTTGTTTCTTATCCTCCGTTGAACAATGCGAAATACAGCGCTGACATCCGCCCGCTCTCCTCATTAGGTTCGTCGACTGCGAAAAGTGGCGGAAAGAGTTCGGCACTGATGATCTGCCTCGCACTTTCGACTACAAGGAGAAACCGGAGGTGTTCAAATTCTATCCTCAGTACTACCACAAGACGGATAAGGTATAACCACCGTGCATGTGTTCTTCTGAGTCGACTTCGATGCTAATAGTGAATATAATGGAAATAGGACGGAAGACCTGTCTACATCGAGAAGCTGGGCAAGATCGATCTTACCGCCATGTACAAAATTACCACCGCCGAGCGCATGTTGCAGAACCTTGTCACTGAGTACGAGAAGCTTGCCGACCCCCGACTGCCCGCCTGCTCTCGGAAGGCAGGCAAGCTGCTGGAGACTTGCTGCACCATTATGGACTTGAAGGGCGTCGGTATCACAAGCATCCCATCCGTATATGGATATGTTCGTCAGGCCTCTGCCATCTCGCAGAACTACTACCCCGAGCGTTTGGGCAAGCTCTACTTGATCAACGCCCCTTGGGGTTTCAGCGGTGCTTTCAACGCTGTTAAGGGCTTCCTTGACCCCGTGACTGTCGAAAAGATTCACATCCTTGGTTCTAACTATAAGAAGGAACTGTTGGAGCAAGTCCCTGCTGAGAACCTCCCCGTGGATATCGGTGGTACTTGCCAGTGCGAAGGCGGCTGTGAGCTGAGTGACCAGGGCCCCTGGCAAGATCCACAGTGGGCCAAGGCGCCCAAGTGGGCTACTCCCAAGGAGGACGAAAACATCGTGAAGAATGAGGATCCTGGCCTCGAGCAGAAGGTTGAAACGCAAGAAGCTTCTCAGCCCACTGCATAGAAACCCGATCTCCTTTTTTTCTTTCTTTTTTCCGCCCCTTTTGTCTTGGATCCACATGGGTAAAGCTGCAGTGCTGTGTTATTCCTATATATTCCTTCCTCAAGATGCCTCCCGGGAATAGTTTACGTCAACCGTACTTTTCTATCTCCCTATGGCCGTCTTTGATCCATCCGAATTCAACTGTTAGCTATCTACTACCTGAGAAACGGCTGCCGGCTTTCCCATCTTGTCTTCGTTTTCCCTTTGGCTTGACATTAGATATTAAACAACGCAACATGAGCGGCGTGAGGTGCTTTTATAGATGGAGCTGAGAAGAGTAAATATTGGGACAGAATATAAAAGTGATTGTCTGATTAGGGATTCGGGGTTTGAGTTCAATGTACGACTTGGTGTGTATTGATTACGAAAAGGGCCAGTTGTAATATGGTAGGTCTGCTTGAACTCCTACCACAAGGCATTGCCTGAATAGCCGATATCAATCATTATTCCCGATAGCAGATTATCAATCACGGTGGAGTATTTAATGGTATCATTCCATGCCGAGCGCCGAACACCAACAGAATTGAATCGCAAAGAAAAAATGACAGAATAGACCTATAGGCGGTCACTTCTTCTCCACGACTTCAACTGCCCGACTGGCTCGTTCAGCCTTCCCGACTGTCGATGCTACCGCATTTCCATCGGCGGCCCCATCTGTTGTGGCGTTTGTCTCATCGCCAGGAATAGCCTCGCCCTGAAGTCGAAGTAAAGTCCGCAATGTATCCTCATATACTTCTGCCATCTCCCCAGTGCGCCATAGTTCTGCTTCATGGTCGGTGCCAAGGGGCACATGTAAATCCCACTTTGTTTTCGCTGACCTCCGGCGTGAGCCATTTGTACTGGGCCCATTGTTGGCAGTCTGTTTCTGGTTCTGGTCTGCATCAGGCATGTCGACGTCTTCCGTTGTTTGCCTTTCACTGTCCTCCCCACTTTCCAGAAGTATCTCATCTTCCAGGTCATCATGTTCGTCCTCCTCTATCACCTTCTTCAACTCCGCTGCATACGTCTCCGCCGCACGTCGCGGCGCATCCCGCCTTAACTGTGCGACTGTCGTTGTAAGCGATTCCAATTGCGCGTAGAGCGAAGTCACACGTGATGCAAGATGCCCGTCATATGGTTCGTACTCGACTGTCTCTGCAGGCGCAGTGAAAGCAGCCGGAAAAGGAAATTGAGGCGATGAAGAGTCAAGACCGTTGATACTTATTGAGGAGGAAGCCGATGTGAAGGTACGCAATATGTACTGTTTCGCATGTCCATCAGTATTAGGGGGGTTCAGTCGATATATCGGTTTGAGAGTAGGCTATGTACCTCGTCGACTAACTCGCGGACCCGCTCGCGCATTGGATCTGGTCCATCTTCAGGGTTTGCAGAGGGGGGTAAATGAAGGTCGAGCTTTTGGCGCGAAAGGGCGACAGTGTTACCGTAGAGATATGTGAAATCGGCGGGGGCTTGGAGCTCAATTTTGCGATGCATTGATTCCCCCATTTTGTCCGGTGGTCCAGCTAACCAATGCGTGAAAGATGTTGGGTGTTGTAGGATGTGTGGATCTAGCTTCTGTCCGTTGAATATTTCTTGTCCTCGGGGGGTTCCGCATGTATGAACGCGTCGGGCGCGGGTATTTACTATCCAAAGTAGTGGGACGGAGGAGGAAGACCTGGATGTGGTTAGCCTCAGGCACCGATAAATGGTCGGCGTCGATCCGATGAGCACGCGCCCCGCAAACGATGTCATCGATTTACTTTTCTTTTCAGCTGCCTTCAGCTGAAGGCCTTGCTTTTCGTCCGATGCCAAGTTTCTTCACTTTTAGGTCGATATACGACCCGACCAGGGTAATAGTTTTTAGTCATATTCCTTACTCCTTCTTATACTTATGTTTGCCTAATTCCTAATTCTTAATTCCCGTAATTGTCTCGCTTCCCTCCTTTATCTCTTATCGCATTATCTATTCCCCCTTTTATAGCGCCCTGGCACCAGCCACTGACGGGCTCAGTTCTCTGACTTGCGATGATGGTCGGGGTCTAATATTAGTGCTATTGCAGGATTTGTGCTGCGCTCTTGTTATTGGTCAATCTATAAACCACCATGGAGAGCCGCCCCAGCTTGAACCTGATCGACAACACATCCCCGAACCGTCGACTCTCCGACGATGAGGGCCTTTCGGAGATCACCACAGCTGATGACCTGTCAAGAAATACATCCAGGAGATGGAAGAAACCCTCAGTACGGCGCGAGCTGACCAAGCGCAAATATAAAAAATGGCAGCCAAAGAATCTAGGAATCACAGACGACGACGACGCAGACAGACGCCCTTCGGACGCCAGACTATCTCTAACAGCCACATACACTAACACTGAGGGCGAAAGCCTTGCCGATATTTCGACTTTGCCAACTAGCGAACAGCGTGATTTCGGGGCCGCAGACCAAGAAAATGGCGGCCCTGGATCAGTGACCGGCCATGGTGTCAGTGGCCTCAAACCAGGTACCGAGCTAGACATTCTTTACGAGAACCAGCGGGGCTGGTTTTTCTTTGGTATCCCTCTTTATTCTCACGGTTCTCTTCTCAACTTCGATCCAGCTGCCTGGGTCACCTACGACTTTCGAGATAGTCCGGTCAATATCACAAATGCGCAGGTGCCGGATCCGAGCTGGGAGTGGGCGTGGAAGACATGGTTCGTGGATATGTCTGGCGATGTGGATGATCAAGGCTGGCAGTATTCTTTCTCTTTTAGCTCGTCAGCCTGGCATGGATCCCACCCTTGGTTTCATTCGTTTGTTCGCCGGAGGCGATGGGTCAGATTACGGGTTAAGAAAGCCTCGGAAAGAAGCCGTCGCGGCCGGTCAGGCTTTGAGATGGCTCATATGCTCAACGAAGACTACTTTACTATCCATACCGCCAAGAAGAAGAGAGCAGCAAGTGCAGGACGGGGTTCCCAAGGGCCATCCACCCATTTGAGTCGAGCGACGACCACTGTGGACGAAGAAGGTCCTCTAGAAGAGATCGGGAATATTCCAACACTCATGAGTGCCCTGAGAAATGCAAAGATAGACCGTGAGAAGTTCGATATCCTCAGAAGGTTTGTGGCGGATGGAGGTCAAGAGTTATACTATTTAGATGGAAAGGTAAGCACACATTAACTCATACATTCATTACGCTGTTGCTAAAGACCTACAGATGCAAGATATAATGGCACTGTTTGTCTTCCAAGCCTCGCGCTGGCAACTAGTGACCCACTTGACTGGCATCATCGAGGAGCTGTCTGGGAAGGAGCCCGAGTCTAGTGGTATGGATGCAGAGGAAACCCGACGGCAAAAAGACTACCTCACCAAAGCTGTAACCACAGCAAAGCGTTACCTCACTGGGCCTGAGATCCTCGCTTCTGAAGGACGAGTTCCTGCTCGGGAAATGTCAGAGATGTTGGATTTGACTCCGGAAGCGAAGAGGGAAAGTCTGTTGTCTAGGTCCTCAGGGAAATTCTCACACAAGCCAATAGACAACGGTGGAGAGATTAAAGGCATACCTCAGGGGGCAGAGATTGGTCGCGAAGGACACATTTATCAGTATACATCTTGATTTTTTGTATTATACCCAGTTTGGCTGGTCCAGCGTACAGCGGGGATCAGGTGTACGTCTTTGGGGCATCCCACTCCGTACGACCTGCCTATATATCCATTAGCTTTTCTTATCAATAATAGCTATTTTTGATATTTTTCGTCTCTCTCGTATTCAAATAGTAAAAATTGCGGAGACTAGGTATACATGTTGTTTACGGCGAGTATCGGTCCGATTCCTGGAGAGCACTGACCGCCTGCCATTCCGACGAGGCAAACATTTTCTAGAATCTCCGCGCCGGAGAGCTTTGCCCGCAGCTTGAAAAAACGACGTCTTTAGACAGGAGCAAATCCAAACTCGCCCGCGACTCTTCGCCCTTTCCATGACTCAGGCACTTGCTCCGTATACTCCTCGATGTTATCGCGTGGCCGCCCGTGTCTGAAAAGACGTGTATTGTCCACCGTCTTAGACAGTGTTGCGGCTGGCCCCGACGAACCTCTCCTGTTCCTCTACCCCCGTTGGTTTACAGCTGCAGTCCGCCAACGGAGGTCAATCTCATCAATTAAGTGCACTTCTAAATGTACAGCGAGACTATGCAACGCAGGCGGGTTCGTTCCGGGGACGCGCCGGAGGTTGTCACTCGGGGGGTCTACGAAACGGTGGGCGTCGAGTAGCAATGCAGCCAAAACCGATGTGATTGAGGAGGCTGGAAGCTCGCAGCAGAACGATCAAGCTACTACTACACCAGATGGTGGACAAGATGGGTGGACAGGGGGTGAAGTAAACCGCGACGGTGTGAGTCCGCCGAAAAACGCCACGAGTTCAAAGCCTTCATTGCCCGATTCGACAGAAAAGAGCAAGTTGCACGAAGACAGACGAAAACGCTTGTTCAATATATTTGCCGATATCGACTCGAAACCTCCCCGTCCAACACCACCGCCTCCTCCGAAATCCAATGCCCCGAGAGCAAGAGACCTGAAAACACATACGCGGCCATTGGCAGCCCCTCCCAAGATGCATTCTCATGAGAGAGCACGTGCTACTATGAAATCGTTATCTGTTAGGGATAGGCGGAAGTTAAGGTGTCGGTTGTTTTTCACTAAGCGGATGAACCCCGAAGCGAAATGGAGGTGGACCCTTTGGACTAAGCTGGAGGAATTGTTCGAACGAATGGAGCAAAATAATACGGTGTGGAGGAAGAGAGGTATAAAACACAAGGAGATGCTATTGCCGGAGGAGACTGTTGCTCTCCTTGCGGGTGCTACGGACATGGCTATGAAGGAAAATGTTTGGTATGTCCCTATGCACAATGGGTGTAAAGTCCATGTGCTCCATCCACGGGAGAGTGAAGGCCAATACAGGAAGGTTGTATTGTCTGGTTCCGAGCGAGTGGTGGAGCTGGTCGGGGATCGTATTGCGCATGCAAAGAGCCTTCAAGAAATGGGTGATCCTTTGATCGATATCAGAAAGCCACCGATCCCAGTGTTTCCTTCGATGGAAACCATGGCCCGGAAAAATATTCCGGTCCCCATCATCCGAGGTGTATGGGACTTTTATAAATCCGCTAAGGATCCTGCGAATTTGGGAACGCTGCTCCCCCTTTCCCAGAATTTGTCGAGTGTCAGGGAATTTGCGGAGCATGTGGATGAAGTCGCACGGTCATCGCCTTCTTACAAGGCTGCTCCAGGGAGCTCCCACCAAAAGCAAGTGGCCAAATCTCTCCTTGCGTTGTTTCAAAACGAACGGTACCATGGCTTTTTGTCGACTGCTGCACTGAATACCGCACTATCTTTCCTCCTTGACCATGAGTTTGTGAAGTACGCGCGCATGATCTTTCTGAGAGCCGAGCATGTCGTAACTGTCGACTCCTTTAATATCTTGTTGAAGTTTGCGGCTCAGAAGCAGGATATGCGGCTGTTTCGCCAGTTTCTGCTAACAATGCCGCGGTTGAATATCCGGCCGAACCCATATACCTGGCTTACTTTCCTTGACTGCCTTGTCTCACCCAAAGCAAAGGCGAACCTTGTCTCGCGTATGATGCAGAAAGGCTATCTCAACGAGTCTAGCGCCATGCGGACGGCGTTGCAGGTGACGATACAAAATACTTTTCATGCACATCTCAAAAGTGGGAAAAGTGTTGACTCCTTTTTCAATATGCTTATTGACACACAGGGTGCCAATTGGTTCCCTCCATCGCTGATCAATCAAATGTTGAACGTTGCTGCCAGGCAGAAGGACTTTTCAGCCATGGAACGGATACTCCAAATATGCAAGCAGCAAGGCTTTGCTGTCAAGGGTTCTACCGTCAACCAAATCGTCTTACTCTTTCGCAAGGATATCTTCTCCCTCCTCCGGGTCTTGTTTCAATTCATCGACCGTCCTGAGCGTGTGCTCACAAAAGATGCCTGGGAGAAATTATTCTTGGTGGCCTTCAAAGGACGACACTACAACATCTGCCGTGTGCTATGGAGATACGCGTGCATGTACCGAGGCGTGACATACAACATGCGACAGTCTGTGCTTACATCGTTGCTCCGCAATACATCATTTCGAAAGACCGGAGGTCAATACAATCAACTTTGGCTCACCAGTGCAGGCAAAGTCATCGTGGGGGTCGATCTTCATCTTCCAAATTATCCTTTAGATGAGTCATTTTCGGAGCTTGTGCCATCTGAGTTCAGTCGGAACCCAGTCGCTTCTCTTGCAACTGGATTCAAGCCTACTGGTGGAGAGCGAGAGAAGCAACAAATTTTGGCTTCAAAACTGATATTACGTGATACGGAAGTCGGTCCAATGTACCGGCCTTCAAAGTCATTGAATATCATGTTGGAGGCTGCAGCCGTACTGGATCAGGAGTGGAAATCGGTCCCTCGACCCACACAGTGGTTGATGCAAAATGCTATTAAAGTCTCGGTGAAAAGAAAGTCGGACTATCTGCAGTGAACGTGGTTGAACCGCCTCGACTGGAGCGGAGCTGTGCACTGTATTTGTTGATCAGTGACTCACTATCCACTTACTGCATATAATATTGGTTGTATGGGCTACAGGGGTCCAACAGCTATTCACATATCATGTATGAACTCAGCGCTTTTACGTCTGACTTTTTTCTGTATATTATACCTCTGTATACTAACCCCTCCCCTTTTCTATATAATGCCATGTATAGATACTATAGAAATAGACTTCGGCTCCCCAGCCCTACTGTTCATTGCAATAGATCGTTAATATGTATTCATCACTCATATTCTCTATTGTCGTAATTGCGTAGTCTATAGGTTATTCACAAGCAAACTGCCATTCCGTCTCATACATCATTGATTGCCATTTCCATGAAGCAAAGCTGGCGGCGGAGGGGCAATTGGACCAGACATATCAGGGGGCCCGTACGGATCGAACGCCGTCCGCATAGACCCCACACCTTCCTTGAGATATAGCACCAAGCGATAGGCCGAGTTGCCGTTCAAATAATACCGATGCAATCTTTTACTGCGCAGGAACCCCAGTCGTTCATACAACTTAATAGCCGCCGTATTTGTGATTTCGGTCTCGAGCGCGATCTGTAAGCACCTCCTATTAGTATAGTGTCTTTTGAATGGAGCACATGTGCAACTCTGTGGGACCCGGGCAACAAACCTCATCCGCATCACGCGCAATCATTGCATCGATCGCCATTCTGACCAATTTCGTTGCAATCCCGCGACCTCGATGCTCCTCGCGCACTGCCAACATGGCAATATAGCCCCGCAATGGGCCGCCGCGGTGTGGTTCCAGCTTCGAGACTACGACCCCGACCATCGGGTCTGGCAGTGTGTCGTCCATGGCCATGAAGCAAAGATCGCCCCATTGGTAGAGGAAATACCGGTAGACGTAGATACTGTACGGCTCGGAGAGGTCCTTGGAGATCAGTTGCCGCATGGCAGCGACATATTCGTCCTCGCGTGTGCCGTCATAGCGGATGTAGCGGAGGTCTGGGGGTGCAGCGGAGACTGCGGTGGGAGTAGCGTCATGGCTCATTCCGGCCGCGTTTTCGGACTCATTGAGAGAATCCAATCTTTCTATCTTGTTCTCGGAGAAGAGTGACAGGTGCGGAAGGGTGTCGTAATAGTTCTGAGTGAATGTGGGGAATTGATGGGGGTGCTGAGGAAGTAAAAGAGTTCAGGTACAAAGGGAGAAAAGCGGATTTCGTAATTTTGGGGACTAAATCTCATGACGTCCCATTTTGGTTGCAACTTCAGAAAGCATGTGATTTCTGGGTCGCAACTTCTTCACATAGTGCGCCTTTTTTTCCCCCTTCTTCTCCCTCCTTTTCTTTTATTCTTGACTTCATTTTCCTGGCTGTCTGTCCTGTTGGATATTTTTCTTGTTTGAGATATACCGACTCTTTCCTTCAACCCGCGGCTGTCAATTCCACCCAGTGTTTCTGGCGATCGCCCACATGCTCCGCCGTCGCCTGGCTAAGGACGACAATGTCCAATCCCCTCCTACGGACTCGTCTCGCGATGAAACCAAAGTAGTCACCGCTACGCAGGCTGCGACGTCACCAGAAAAACCGAAAAAAGAGTCATTCGTGACGAAGCCGCGGAGTAAGCGTCGCAATGGTCTCATCTTCGTGCTCGGCGGCATCTTCGGAATTCTCGTCGCCGCTTTTTTCGCCAACCAGCAAGATGTGATCAGTCTCGATTCGCTGATGGACCTGAACTTGGATTCGTTGATGGATGTCATACCACAGGGCATTGTGAAAGATGTGAGGGAGTTCTCGGTATGTCAACTCCTCTTTCCTTCATGCAGGTGGTGATCTAATCTGATTAGCAACATGAGCGTGATGCTGTCAACTATGATTCATTCGCCGTCGGTCTACAACTTCAATCACAAGGTATTCAAGCCAAGCATCCCATTGTCATGATACCCGGCGTTATCTCCACTGGGCTCGAGAGTTGGGGCACTGAGGTGTCCTCTCGCCAGTACTTCCGTAGTAGACTCTGGGGCAGTTGGAGTATGATGCGCGCTTTGGTCCTGGATAAGACAGAGTGGAAAAACCATATCATGCTGGATAAGGATACGGGATTGGATCCGCCCGGGATCAAGCTCCGAGCGGCGCAGGGGTTTGATGCGACTGATTTCTTCATCACTGGCTACTGGATCTGGAATAAGATTCTCGAAAACCTGGCGACGATCGGGTATGATCCGACGAATGCTTTTACTGCCGCTTATGATTGGAGACTGTCCTATCCGAACCTGGAGATCCGTGACCAGTACTTCAGTCGGCTGAAGTCCTACATCGAGACTGCCGTTCTCGTGAAAGGAGAAAAGGTGGCTCTAGCTTCGCACAGTATGGGCTCTCAGGTGCTCTTCTATTTCTTTAAGTGGGTTGAACATCCGGAACACGGTAATGGAGGCAGTGACTGGGTTAACAGACACATTGCCTCTTGGATCAACATCAGTGGGTGCATGCTGGGCGCGTCAAGGGTCTGACGGCCGTCCTCTCGGGCGAAATGAGGGATACCGCTCAACTGAATGCCTTCGCCGTGTACGGATTGGAGAAATTCCTGTCCAAGGAGGAACGAGCTGAGATATTCAGGGCCATGCCCGGCATCTCGAGCATGCTTCCCAAGGGCGGAGAAGCTGTATGGGGCAATGCAACATGGGCTCCGGACGACCAGCCTGGCCAGCACACGAGCTACGGAAATCTGCTGAAGTTCCAGCAGAGTAACTCGTCCCTGACAGCCAAGAATCTCACAGTCTCCGAAAGTCTGGCATATCTCATGAACACAAGCGATGAATGGTACCGTAATCAAGTCCAGAACAGCTACTCGCATGGCGTCGCGCACACCACCGCGCAAGTCGAAGAAAACGAAAACGACCCTCGCACTTGGCTCAATCCCCTCGAGTCCCGCTTGCCATTGGCTCCGGACATGAAGATCTACTGCTTCTACGGCGTCGGCAAACCAACCGAACGCAGCTACTACTACCAGGAGGAGCGTGACCCCCTGGTCAACCTCAACGCCAGCATCGACACGACTGTCACCAACAACGATGGAGTCGACCATGGCGTTGTCATGGGCGAAGGCGACGGCACCGTCAACCTCCTCAGCACAGGCTACATGTGCGCCAAGGGATGGAATATCAAACGGTACAACCCAGCCGGAGTCAAAGTCAAGGTCTTTGAAATGCCTCACGAACCAGACAGGTTCTCACCACGTGGTGGTCCAAACACAGGTACATATATCTCCATTCCTAGGTTTTGTAAGCCTTAACTAACAATCCAAAAGGCGATCACGTTGACATCCTCGGCCGAGCCTCCCTCAACGAACTCATTCTCCGCGTCGCAGGCGGCCACGGCGACGAAATCGAAGAAACCTTCGTCTCGAGAATTAAAGAGTATGCAGACCGGGTGCAGATCTTCGAAGAGTAATACATAAATAGATTTAATACCCCCTATGTTTTCCCCACGTTTCTTATGAATTCTTTTCAGCATATATCTATTATACAAGAGATACAAGAGATAATCCTGTTATGTATTATGTATGGTTGGTGAACGGATGATGTTTATGTTCTCTATGTTTATTGGTGGGTTTAGAGAAGGGGGCTTTGTATAAATAATGGAGGTATTCTAACATGCCAACTTGGAAAAACTGCAGTCGCCTCCTTCCTGCTGGATCTTGACGTTACCGCTCCAACAGGAGGTGCTTTGGTCGCCCAGCTGAGATGATTCACTCATCCTCACCTAGGTACAATGATCCTTAGCTCAAAGCTGGGCCAACTGAACAACATTTATCAAGCGATGCTGAAACCTTATCTATATGGTCAACTACGTATTACTACATCTCAGTCTCTACGAAAAGGCCTATAATGTACAACCCCTCCTAAGGGCGCTTACTGCAACTCTGTGATTAGTGCAGTTGCAAGGCTGTGGCCAGAGTTAGCGCTATGTCTTCCGAGACCTCACCATCGCCTCCCTTCTGGCTTCCCAGATTGATATCCTCGTTTCAGCCATGGTCTCTGATATATCAATTATTCCAACCTGAAATGCGTCCTAGGAGTCGTCAAGATTTTACCGTCGCGATTGTCTGCGCTCTTTCTTTCGAGGCTGACGCTGTCGAAGCCCTTTTCGATGAAACCTACGATCGGCTGGGAAGATACTATGGCAAACAACAAGGCGACGCGAATGCGTACATCAATGGAAGGATTGGCAATCACAATGTGGTCTTGTGCTACTTGTCAGGAATCGGAAAAGTAAGTGCAGCAAGTGCAGCCTCAAGGTTACAAGTTAGCTACACGAGAATTGAGCTTGCTTTAGTTGTTGGTGTTTGTGGGGGCGCCCCATCCAGCCATCAAGATATATTCCTAGGCGATGCTATCATCAGTGACTCTGTGATAGCATATGATTTTGGCAGGCAATACCCTGGTGGCTTCCAACGGAAGCCTGGAGTCAAGGACATACTCGGCAGGCCGAATCGAGAAATTCGGACTCTTCTGAATGGCCTGAGGGCTGCTAATGCCCTCAGTGAACTCCAAAACCAGATGCAAGAATATCTTGAGACGCTTCAGCAAAAAGAAACTAAGTGGTGCCATCCACAAATCAACGATAATCTTTTCCAGGCTTCCTATCTTCACAAACATTATGCACGTGCGTCTGATATTCAATGCGGCTGTTCTGAGAGTGACGTACCTGAGGAGATCTGTGACAGCGCACTAGAGGAAACCTGCGATGATCTTGGTTGTGACAAAGGCCAAGTGATACGGTGTCGAGAATTTGAGGAAGCTGCAAAAGCCTCTATATGTATTGGCACAGTCGCTTCAGCCGACAGAGTGATGAAACCCGGACCGCACCGTGATGCAATTGTTAGAAAGGAGAAAGTTATAGGTTTTGAAACGGCAGGGGCAGGAGTGTGGGACAATATCTCGTGTATCATCATTAAAGGAGTGTGTGACTATGCGGACAGCCATAAGAATAAATTATGGCAGGAATATGCTGCCGCGACTGGAGCCTCTGCGGCAAAAGCTTTCTTAGAGTACTGGCCTCGGAAAAAAGAAGGTAAGTAAATCAGCAATCTAGTATCAGTAACTTTAGCGTACGCTAACTATTTATTCTCTATTCCATAGACACACCCAAGACGGTTCACTTCGTGGTCCCGTTTGCGAGAAATCACCGCTTTGTCGGCCGGCAGGAGGAAATTGACAGGTTAGAAGAATTAATCTCAACACCCGACGGGCCAAAGAAAATTGCCATTACGGGATTGGGAGGGGTTGGTAAGACCCAGGTAGCTCTCGAACTAGCTTACCGTATGCAAGACAGAGAGGATGAGTGCTCAATCTTTTGGATCCCTTGTACCAGCTATGAGGCTGTTGAACAGGCCTGCATGGCCATTGCACAAACGATCGGGATCCAAGCTGTGAATCCGGCAGAGGTAAAAGAGCATCTCAAGGCTCACTTTAGCCAAAGGAACGGGAAATGGCTTCTGATCTTCGATAATGCAGATGACATGGACATGTGGATGAAAGGCAGCAAGACATCCTCCGCATTAAAGGACTTCCTTCCTTGTAATAACAACGGTCATACTATCTTTACTACTCGCAATCGGAAGGTAGCCGTGAGAATTTCATCGTCTCATGAGATACATGTTCCCAAATTCAACGAAGAAACTGGAGTGGACTTTCTGGGAAAGTTACTGATGCAAAAAACCTGCTCCGTGACGACAGTTATGCGGTGACCGCCCTTCTTCAGCAGCTTACATTCCTTCCATTAGCTATTACCCAAGCTGCAGCATATATCAACGAAAATGGTATAAAAGTGTCTGATTACCTGCTACTTCTCCAAGAACAGGAAGCAGATGTTGTAGAGCTTCTAGTGAGGATTTTGGTGATGATGAACGCTATAAGGAAATCCAGAACCCAGTGATCAAGACATGGCTAACCTCATTCTATCAAATTCAGAAGCTTGACGGACTTGCTTTTGAATATCTGTCGCTTATGGCTTGTCTTGATCCGCGCAATAGTATCCCGGAGTCCTTCCTTCCACGGCCGGCGTCAAAAAAGAAAATGACTGAAGCTCTTGGGCTTCTAAAGGCCTACTCTTTCATTGCTATCCAACCCGGGAATGGCTCTATAACATTACATCGTCTGGTACATCTGGCAACTCGAGCCTGGATGAAAAACGAGAAACAATATGTATTCTACATAACAAAAGCAGCAGACCGATTGAATGAGGCCTTCCCTGGTAATGACCATACCAACCGACAACTTTGCCGAGAATACCTGCCCCACGCTCTCTTCCTACTGAGTGATAATCAATTCAAAAAACAACAAGATATGTATATTGACTTAATACGGGGCGTGGGGTCCTGCTTAAGTAGTGATGGGAGATACAATGAAGCGGAAAAGCTGTTGTCGCAGATGATGGAAACTCAGAAACAGGAGCTAGGGCCAGAGCATCCTGACACTTTGGCCAGTATGGCCAACCTTCCATTATCCTCCTGGAAACGAGGGCAATGGAAGGAAGCAAAAAAGCTGTTTTCAAAGATCATGAATATCCGGAAACAAGAGCTACGGCCAGAGCATTCTGATACCCTGGCCAGTATACACAACCTGCATCAAGATACCAAAACTAAGGACAATGGAAGGAGGCAGAAGAGCTGGTGGTACAACTTGGGGAGATCTAGAAACAGATCCTAGGACCAGAGCATCCTAATACTCTGGCTGCCATGCACATCCTTGCATCAACATACTTTCGGGGACAATAGAAGGAAACAGAAGAGCTATTTTTACAGATTCTGAAGACCAAGAAACAGGTGCTAGGGCCAGAGCATCCTGACACTCTGTGCAGCATGCACTACCTTGCATATACATGGAAATCCCTTGGAAATATTCAGCCCGCCTTGGATCTAGTTAATAAATGTGTAGAGCTCCGCAACGAAGTCTTAGGCTCGAACTATCCAGACTTTATGTCTTCCTACAACGCCCTGAAGAACTGGGAAGCAGAAGTGAACTCCTCATCAGCAAAAAACACAACAAAATCCTCCTGCGATCCTATCCTTCTCGCACGAGGGTATCTTGGTACAGGAAAGAAACGTCTCACTCTCATCGCGCTAGCTTCGATATTGATCTCGCTGAACTGTCCACGTTATCTTTACAGCTCCAAGCCCATTATTATGCTGCGGATGCCATTTTCGAGTCTATAGATAGATGGACAGAGTTAACGGGATCAAATCTCTGTCCTCTGAGGGTACAGAGTATATAGTTCTGTGTCAAAAGCCAGAGCTTTCCGGATGCCTTGTTCTGAGCAGGCCAATGACGAAACTGCTGTCTTTGGAGTAGATGTCGAGAAGTTTTCAGTCAACGCATCTACTCCCAAAACTGCCGGCGACTCTATCCCTGGTTTCGTCCCGCAACTTCGCATGTCACAAGTTTTTTCAATGCGATAAAGGATGGAAATATGAACAGATACTACGGCGGCATCTCGGCCAAGTCCTTGGAAACCCATGTTTTCCGCTTGACGTATACTGAGGGACGGCAGGTAGTCGATACAGGTTAATTTTTAGACCATTCTTCAGCATTGTATCTGGTGAAGAAGATATTCGGTCATAAAGATATCTCAGCCTAGTATAACAGCTATACTAACTGGTTTAGGAGAACAGTTGGTGTCTACAGTGGCAAATCGGTGCAATCTACACCGGACCAAGGAACCATTTAAGATATTTCAGGTCATTGAAATTGTCCAAGCCAAGATGTATACAAGAATCAAACAAGTAATGTACAAAGTTCTTCATAAATCATAACGCTACCGATGGGATTATAATTAATAATAATGCCATGGAATAAAAAGCATCCAACGAACTCTTGTGGCACGCATTCCACTATGGATGCTTGTGTCCAGCAGAGAAACGTCAAGTCGTAAAAGTGTTTTCAATAGCAAAGGGTGTGCAACCTTCGACAAGATGACTCCGTCTGCATCTGTCGCCCAGCCGCTTTGAAGTATCAGTGCCCCCCCAAGATCTCCATTACTTGGTAGATGCAACGGATCAGAACGGCCGCTCGGCATCACCAATGTCCTCTGTATAGAAGAATGCTCCCAAGACAAACCACCACGCGAGGGGGGAAATCAGGTAGTCCTGGCCCCGCTCTATATACCAATGCAAAAGTCATTAAACAAGCATCAACCCCTTCTAGGCACAACGAGTGAAGTGCATGCAAAAGGCGCCCCAGTACTTTTCTCTTTCCATCATGGTTCCCAATCACAGGCGCCAATGGTGTGAGCGATCGACAAGAATGTTAAAAAAGTATATGTACCTGGCCGAGCACAAGAAGAAAAGCGAAGCAAAATGCTCGACCAGCTGAAGAATAGCGAAAGACTGTAGTTGGAATGGGACGAAATCGTCCGGCCTGGAATGATCCAGGTAGCAGTGTACAAGCGAGTGACTCCAAGGACACCAGTAAAGCTCAAGCTCCTGAGCAGCGAAAATCGCGCCAAGTCCGCTAGACCTTTGGAATTAAGATTATTGACGGAGCTTCAAGGAGACTCGGGGCCGTAAGGTCACATCATACAGCCCAACTGATTTCGCAACAACGTATGCATGTACAGTTGAAGATGCGCGTGGAAAACGGCGCAATCCGGGGTACCATTAAGCCGGATGTGCCGAGGAAAACAGGCGTATTAAAAATATATGTGTCGAAATCTGCTCAATGCAATAAGAATCCAGTATGTCGTAAAATGGTAAAAACGCCGTTCGTCAATAAATGAAAAACGCGAGTGCGGTGTATGCAAGTTGATGGAGCCGAATCATGGGCTGATCATATGCCTTCCGGACTCGATATCCGAGGCAGGGGAAGCAAGAGCCTCGCCCTCCCAGGTGTAATGGTCATCGATGGGACTCAAAGAGCCGGAGGAGACGGACGAAGACGAGCCAACCGTCCACTCATCACTGTCCAAGTTGAAGTCGCCATCGTAGTCGGCCAGGTCGTAGCCATATTCCCGAGCGGAATCGCCGTATTCCACGTAGTCGTAGTCCCATCGGAACATCTTGTCGGTTTGAACGCGGGGCATGAACCGAGTCTTCGCGAAGTAGAACGCGACCGTGGCCAAAAGTCCACCACAAACCAGATCAACCGCGTAGTGGTGGGACAGATACATGGTTGCCCACCACATCCACAGGGTATACGTCACGAACAACGGCTTCAGGCGGGGGAAAACCAGGCTCATGAAAAGGGCTGCCAGAGTGGAATCGGCGGCGTGCAACGACGGGAACGCACCAAAAACGACCGGGGATTGTTTGAAGCCCGAGGTGTAGAGGTCGACGCCCAGGAGTTTGTCAATGCGAGCGAGACCCGCGGGGTTACCTTGCATCGAGTAGTCGGCTGGTGCCAGACCGTACAGGTTCTCGTACCACGGGGGCGAGCAGGGGAAGAACAGTTGAATGGTGACTGCCATCATGCTGATATAGCCGAAAGTCCGCGCAAAGATGGGCACAATGCCGGGAGGCCCAAAGATGAACATGATCAGGGAAACGACGAAGGGGGCTCCGTAATGGCAGAGACCATATGGAATCCATGCTAGCACGTCGAGCACAACATTCTGATGAGCAGACAGGATGTTGCTGATGTTGGCGCCATAGAGGATATTCTCCAATGCTGGGAGCACCCGGACCCAAATAGCCGGACGCCAATCGCTCGGAATGAACCTAGAGTCAACTCGATTAGCAATTGCCTTCTTGACAAGGCCATGGCAGAGGGCACGGTGAGTTCACTTACTGGCAAGCGTAGAAAAACAGAAGCCATCCCGCAATCGGCAGAAACGGCAGAAAGAACTGACGAGTGATAGGAAGCAGAAGAGCGACAATGTACACAGTAAACATGGCAGTCTTCCCCAAAGGCCCGGGCGACTCAATGACTGTCAATGAGAAGATCGCGACGATCAACAATAGCAGGTATTGAAAGTCGTATGTCGTCCACCGATGGCTTTGCAGCGACCGAAGCGTGTCCACAGGCGAGAACGAGGTTTGTAAGGAGGATATCGACGAGGTGGGAGATATCCTACTCCTCAGCTTCGACCGAATCTTCCGTCGCATACGGTGCGGCACCAGGAGCTGGATTGAACGCCATGGTACTTGGATTTGAAGCTTCCCGAACTGATTTTGCGTCCGATCCTTCCATGACGGAAGGGTGGGATTCATCTCTGCGGCAAGTCTTTCACAAGACTCAAGAAATTCCTTCCAAAAGGCACAATTTCACGGCGAAAAGGTTGGAAAAGGGTGCAAGAATGCCGCGAGAGTCGAGAAGAAGAGGATCGAAGGACAGAAGAGTCTCGGCGGAGCTGACGGAAAGGGGGCTTCTAGGCGTCAATGTGACGTTGAACTAGACACCGGGAGCAGAACGTTTTGATCACCGACAGGCGGAGAAATTAAAGGTGGATTGGTTATAGTTGGGAGCGCGGGCTCCGGTCTCCAGCGGCCAAACGAGGAGGTTTCGAGTGGAGGTCACGTTGCAAGGGTTCCTCTGACGCAAGGCGGACCGTAAGGGCCGGAAGACTGAGAAAACCAGGAACGAGATCGAGTCGCAAGGCGGACAGATGGCCACGGAGCCGGAGAGTTAGTGGTGGTGGAATTAGGGAGGGAGGTCGACGAGGTCGGAGGAGGGTGGAGGAGAAGTGGGAAGTAAGAGGAGGAAAAGAAAAAGAGGAAGACTCCGGGAAGTCAGTATTTAGTACTAAATGAGACGATACGTGAGGATTTTGCAGGTGATGGAGCACAGCGCCAAAGGTGAAGAGCGACGGGGCGACGGACGTCGGCGGATACGATTACGGGGCCAAGCGTTTCCGTAATTACGGGAGTTGGCCCGTATCGTTGTCGTCACGACTAACCCAATCGAGCTGCTCATGTCGATGCCACTAAGCCTCATCAGTGCAAGCCGCGGCCCCCAATTAGGACTAGTCAGCTTCAGGAGGTGCCGAGGATGCGATGAAAACTCCCGGACCCGAGAGTGCCTGAGAATTTGTCCCAAGGTCTCGAAAAAATACATCAAAAAAATATCGAAAATAAAAAATAAAAAGGAAGAGTGACAGAAAATTTCGGTCTGCCTTCAGAATCTGGCACTGAGACGGATAACGTCCGATAGCCCCATACAGACTACGTTCTAATGACTGGCGGGTGCGGCGGAGATTCGGAGGATACGGGAATAATAGACGCCGAGTCAACATAAAAAAAAAAAAAATGTGACAAAGGCGATTACAAGGGGCCAATTACTAGTTGGGTCGAGAATACCGGGAGGTCGTTTGAGAAGTACAGTCAGCCAAAGAGAAAAACTCATCATCATATACAAATTAAAAAGGAAAGTAAGAAAGTAAGAAAAATGAAAAAAAGGCGAGGCGCTGCGACTTCATTCCAATCCTAGTTAAGCCATCGGACCAATCATCATGTCACCCTTTCATTGATTTGGGAATGATTCCCCACCTTTGGCCGGTCTTCGCCAACAGGAGGACGAGGATCTTCCAAGTCAATTTCGCTTAACCCACAACGGTCACACTGACCAGCCAAAGAAATCGCCGATTAACATGCAACCAAGACCCGCTGTCCCTGAATTAGTCTAGTAGTGGTAGTTGGGTTTGCTACTGTACAAGAGCACGTCCTTTTACTCTCCCTCCTTTTACTGCCGCAGAGCTTCGTCTGCACAAGACTCTAGGGCAAGAAGCAAAGGGTAGAGTGTCGAATGGGTCTGATAGCGGATCCAAAACGAGGCTCCGATCAGCCATCTGGCAATAGTGTCTAAGTAGTAAGTTTACTTATTATCCCATCTCAACATCGTAAGACTTTCTTCTAAGGAGGTTCAGCCAATAGCCGCCGGAGTCAACCTGGTGGCCACTAAGGCAAAGTCAGCCAACATTTGCTTCATTTTATTTTATTTTGATTATTCTTCTTATTATTTACTCCGTGTTATTCTTGCCCCCAAAGAGAGGTCTACCAGCCATCATAATTTTCATCCCCGACAAGTTTCTTTCGACTTCAAACAATTGTCATCGTGGATTTAATTCCACACCAAAACAACATCTGCGTTTGGGGGCTGTCCCAAAGGAGGAGATGCATAAAGGAAGTGACACAGCAGTAGTAAACAATAAGCCGACATGACATCCCTGAGCTCCCAAGACATTGTTGAAAGATGGTAGTCAAGTTGTACTCAGTGTAGGTAATGA